AATATTTATAAAATATTGTTGGTATATAATATTATAGTTAGTTAGGTTGTAATAATTTGGGTTTTTTAGCGGATTAGGGTTTTCCGCCAATTCGAGATTTTAGTGGCCAATTTTTCATCGATTTAGTCAACTCTTTATTGTAGTCCATATATGATTATATAATTAATCCTTGATAATTCTATGATTTCTTTTGTGTGATATAAATTTAATGATCAACATAATTTCATACAGGGAAAGAACATCCCAATATTAATAAATTGATGAAAACAATGAAAGTTAATAATGTAGTACCCCCATTTCTTATTGGATTCTTAAAAAACAACATTTATAATGAATTTTAATATTTTTTTGAATTTTTTTAAGGCTTAATCCGAGCGATTCGGCCCGATTCCTGATCCGAATCGTTGATTCACCGATCCGGATCAATTTTTTGGATGTCCGATCCGGGTCATCGATCCGTTTCTTAAACCACTGATATATAGTGATTGAGATGGGCTCTTGATACAAGTGGGGTTCGATGATGGGAGTGTGGATCAATCATGCACATAATGTGATCCATTCTTGAATGGAGCTTGATATTTTCTAAATAGGAACACAGTCATTTTTAAATGGGGGCGCGACTCAACTTCAAATGGGATCTCGTTCCTATTTTGGATGGGAGTGCATTCCTATTAAATATGGGAATGTGAGCCCATTGTACATGGATTGCGTACCCGTTAAGTAAGGATCAACATCCTATTGTATTAGGAACATGCTCCCTCTTCATATGGGATCTCGATCAACTACTTTTACCTTCACCGAAACTCGCTCCAGAGCTTTGACAATTATCGATCTGACGCTCCCGCTCCTTGAACCAAAGCCATTCTCGGTCCTGGTAACTATGATCCAAACACTGCTTCCCTACCTTGCCAATGCCTAAGGGTTTCTTGAGCAATTGTGTTTTGAGTCAATTTTTCGATAGCGGATAGTACTTATTGCCTGTTATGAATCTGCCTGCTGGAAAGCCATCTTAAAATGTTGAATGATGGTCGATCTACTTCAGCCAACTCATAATGGGTATATAATATCAATATATGCCCTCTTTACCTTTTTTTAACATAAATTATAATACCAATAGATACCTTCTTTATCTTTTTTTAACATAAACTAAAAATTCATTACTGAAACATGGTGTAGACACTAGTACCATAAAGAAAAGAAAACTGAACAAGCATTAGTGATAAGCATGAAAGCACAAGAAAACTAAAGCCTAACATAGAATTTAATTCCCTCAATATCAGTGGCAAGCAGAGCAAAAAAAAACAAAGAAGATAACTTTCTCATAATGAAAATGGACGTTCCAGATAATGCATTAACAAATTCACTATTTTTGAAACATTTTTGTCTCTTAACTTTCATACATCTCGAAGTCGAGATAATCAATTATACAGTTTTTCAACACCAGAACAACTTTTTCTGATGAGTTTTTTTGATGCACCTTACTTCTACAATATAAAGTTCAAACCTTATACAATGTTTCTCCCCAAAAAAATACATAGCTTTATACCATGCATCCACCAACCGTTCAGGGAACTTATGGTGGAGGCGCTACTTGTATACCTTCTATTCTGGAATTACATACTCAATGTACCCACTTGGTATGTTATGTTTACTATTCCTTTTTTCACGGCAAATTTTACAGCTTCTTGGCGAACCATTCCTCCACACTATAAATCCTTTCAAGAATTTAATTGAAGGAATGGCACCCCTTCTATCCCTTGTTGGCATCTAATGGTTGTAAAGGTTGTAGAAATCTAGGAAAAGAGCTTGGGCTTAATTGGTTAGCACTTGACGATTTGCAATGCTATATCCTAGACTCAATTTCTATCAAGGGTAGAGGCTCTCTCCCTATTGACTCACCCAAAAAAAAAGTTGTAAAAATCTGATGGAAATTGTGAACATCTGAAAATCCGATTTGTTGATTGTATTCAATACCGACCGATTTGTTCATCGTATTCAATACAAAATCTCATTGTATTCAATACAAAATCCCATGCCGATCACACGTAGGAATCCCCCAAACACTGCAGGCTCAATTCTAAAGATACCCTCAAGATCTTAAAACATAGGTCAAAGTTATAGCCATAATAAACCCCGATCCGAAACCTAAATACCATTCTATAAGAAATTGAACCAGCTTTCAAAAGGTCCATGTCTCATGTCAATCCCACATACCATTTAGAAATCATGCACAATTTAATGCCAAACAGGTCTTGATACACCACGTACCAAATCTAGTGCACTATGTCCTACCTATATTTTTGTGCGTATTACCAAATCCGGTGCACACTGTCCTACCTATATTTTTGTGCAATTCCTATGCCCCAAAACCTAGAAATCACCCTACTCCCTCAAGACCAATAGCCATGGTCTACACGCTATAATACATAATGATAGGGCAGCTATTGTCTATGGTCCACGAAGTATATATAGAATGATAGAACAGCGATGGTCTATAGATTACCATCCAAAAAGCCCCAGTGCATTAAGCCAATAATAAAACCCTCCACTTGGGTTTTCAGCCAAACAAACATCCTAGAGGGGAGAATTTAAGATTTTAATAAGATTATGGATCTTAATATAATTTGTCTTTTAAATAAAGGCACCAGACCCAACAGTATGGAAATTTCCAACCGGGAGAGGCCGGAACTCAAACAACCAAACAATGTCAATGAATGGCTCACTTGCTCCACTCTAATAACCCTGATAAAACACAAAAATTAGCCAGGAATTTTGCAGGAAAGTGCAAAAGATCATCAAAATTTCTCAACCCAAAATAAGAGAATTGGAGTAAAAACAGATATCAGAGAGAAGAATCAAGAGCGAACACAAAAAACTAGCCAGGTATTCCAGGAGAAAAATGCAAATGATCATCAAATTTTCTCCTCTTAAAAACAGATGCAGGAAAAAGAAATCAAAGAGGAATCAAGCATAGATCTATGGGAATGAAATCAGAGAGAGAGAGCAGCAAAAAGTTTTAGATGAGAGAGAGAGAGGTCTTTGTCCAGGAGTTAACGAGAGAGAGAGAGAGAGAAAGAAGAAAGAACAGCTTATTCAAGTAGAAACAACAAAAATCAAAATCAAAACGAAATATTCAGAAGACAGCAGAATTTGGATCCCTAGACAATTTTTCCCATGGTTTCGCCCATAAACTTGTTAAAAATATAAAATTCCCCTAGGGGGTTATTTGCCTGAAAAATGAAAATCGAAGGTATTTTGATTTGTTTGAAAATGTGGGGTGGTTCTGATAAGGGAAGATAAAGTTGGCCGTTCCATGTAAATTTCCAAAAAGTCAAATTCCAAGACTCTTATGTTGGACAATCTAGAGTGCATGGGATTTCTGAAAGTGGATCACACAGGAACAAAATTCTGTTTTGTCAATAGAAGTGACCAGTGTTGGTACGCGTACACACATGAGAGAGATGCCTCACAAAACTCCATTCCATAATTTTAGAGGGATGTAATTTTCCGAATTCCATTTTAAATAAAACCCATTCCAGGGAGAGTAGTTGAAGGGGAAGAGACCAGCCCGACCACAAACAACAAAACCCAAAACCCTCAGTTCAAATAGACCTTAACATCTATCCCATTATCAATTAGCGACTGAACAACAGCCCTGATCTTGCCCTCGAACTTATCCCTCTCTCTAGGCGTATACGAGGCCGTGTACACATCTGCCTCTCTCGCCCTCTCTGCCAAAATCCTTCCAATTGCTAAACAAGCCGGAATATCTGACCTCGACTTTAAGGCAGCCTTTATGTCTTTGGAATTAGTTCCAGCCACTGCTACTTGCTTGCTTGTTACTCTGTGGGTTAAAGAAGCAGAAACAAAGCGCTTTGATATGAACACATCGAGAGTAAAGGGTTCCATGAATGCGATCGTTCGCTGCTTGAAGGAGACGTGTTTGTGGGGGTTCTTTGATTTCTTCTCCTTCTGATATGTGTATGGTCGGCTGTTATCATCATCAAGGAAATCTTCAACCCCAAAGAAGCTTCTCGGAGAGAACATCACCTGCAAATTTTGGGATTTGTGAGTTGATGAAACACATCGAAGTCAAATGTTCACCTCAATAGATAGAAAGTTGTTAAGAGTTGCTAGAACACTTCAAAATATTAAAGAAGAGTCGCTTCTCCAGAGAGAAACCCTGGACAGGTATGAAAACACTAGAGAAAGAGACTTGCTAGAGAAAACTAAATCTGCAGCGTCGATGACATTTTCTTATGTTTATTTTCATCGCTGTTGAGAGGAGATCTCCAAGAGTACTTCCTGGGGAGACACTCTGGCACAAAATCCATTAGCACCAACTGTTTTATTTGCCCAATCCCCTAGTTTGTAGGTTCACTGAATCTAATGTACAATGGGAAAATGACAATCCCATTATCCGGCATCACCAAAGCATCAATCTCAAGCTGGCCCATTGATGATCAATCTTTGGAGAACCTTAACAGACTCAGCTAATGGGAAACCAAATCCCGAAATGTTGCCTCTTTTCAAAGATTTGAGGTAATAAATCAAAGGGACAGCCATTTTATAGCCAATTCCTTGTCACACATGCTTCCACAATCAACATATGAATATTTACTTGAAATTCTTTGACCGTATGCCTCCTGAACAAGATGAAATCTAATCTCTCTCTCTCTCTCTCTCTCTCTCTCTCTCTCTCTCTCCTGATAGATTTATCAAACTAAATCATACAAAGCAAGGGAATAAGCCCCCACAATCATCTTGGTGCACTTCATTAACGTGTGATTAACCATCTTAGCAACCATCAATACTCTTATGGCGGGCTTTCCCAAAAAGTGACTAACCGTCACCAGCGCTCCTGGGTAAAAATCCTTTTTAATCTTTGGAATTAAAAAATAGTCCCGAGATCGTATATTTTACACCAAGTCCCTGTTTTTCATCAGATATTTTCTCCAAATTGCCCCCAGTTCGACGCTTGAAATGCGGAAATGATTTTTTTCTTCAAGTCAAAAATTAGTCCGGCAATTCAATTGCCAATCCTATAATTTTGAGGGAAAAGATGGGTTCGGCTCTTGAAGTGTCGAAACCATATCATATCCTATGGGTTCAGCATCTCAAGGGCCAAACAAGTGGAGAACACATTTCATCGCCCAAAAAAAAATGTCATGGGTTTGGCCCTATGAGGCGCTGAACCTATGACTTTTAACTTTTTTGGGTGAGAGCTGGGGAGGCACTTAACCAAAGCTCAATAAACAATTTAAGTCTTGTGGGTTTTGGTCCTTTGGACCACTAATGTTCTAGTGTTCCTCCAATTAAAAGGGGCTAAACCCCTTATGACTTCGAAGTTTGGCACTTTAAGTGACAACACAGCATTCCCAAAATATGTGTCATGTGGCCTCAGCACTTGGAGGTATTGAACGATATTACACTTTTTTATCTTCTTTGGGAAAATATGGGTTTTGCACGTCAAATGCAGAACATATCGTTTCTCTCATCAAAATAATGCGTTAAGCACTTCAAGTTATAGACCCATTTTCAATTTGAAGAAAATAATTTCAACTCAATGCTTAAAGTGCCAAACTAAGGGCAATTTTGAGAAAAAATCAGAAGAAAGAAGGGAATCAAGCACAAAATATAAATATTATAGGACTATTTTTAACTTCAAAAAAAGAAAAGGATTTTAATGATAACTTCTCTTCTTTATAGTAAAATTGACTACTAATATTTACTATAGAACTTACAAGAGACTATCATGGGGAACCAATTTTACAAGAAACAACAGCCAAAGAAAAGCACAGGGAAATCTCACGAGGTATAACAAAAATGGCCATAAAACTGGAAAGCTCACCCAAACAATCACAGTAAAATGACAAGACTATGCGTTTCAGATCCTTCTTTGGCAAGATCATCTGCCACAGAATTTGCTTCTCTGACACATGCTTAAAGTAACCATCATCGAGCAAGTTACGTCGTAAATTTGATCAAAAATGTGCTCAAGCCTCCAAGGACACGGAGTCAACTTGGAAGCCCAGGTAATATGTAGTCTCAAAAATCCTTCAATTACATTTGAGATATAACCTCCATATCGTAGCCACAAAGGCACCCCAAAGGAAAAGAAACCCAATCAAGAAAGGTGGACTTAAGAACTTGATGCAACTCAGAATGTTGTTCTTGACTAGATAGATAAGAGAGACAAGCTTAAAGTATTCAAGAGGAACAACAGGAGGAGGTGAGAAACCAGTTGCAAGGTTGAGATGCCAGAGTTTCTGATGAGGACAGCAAGCATTCTTTCGAAGGCAATCCCATCTATGATGAGCTGGTTGATGAGGACGACCCAGAAGCGACCTGTAGTAATCAGAGGGACTTACCACCAATCTTTGATGCGTACGCTGATGTGGATTCGAGTTTCATGGAAGAATCAATTTATGATGAATTTGGTAAACCTACCTTTGATAAAAAGAAAGAGGAAGGCCCTAGTTTGAATGAAGAAAATGCTATTGGCTAGGAAGATAATGATGGTGTCCGTATTTATGGAAGGAGTTCGTGGCTGCAATGCATTTATCTTAACCCATTTTAAAGTTTGTAAGCAAGGTATCCAAGGAATGGTCAGGATAATAATACAATGCATATGTGCTACAATTGCCACAATTTTCCATGTGGACAAATCATGAACATGACGGATAATATTTCTATGAGAGATGCTGTAATTTGGAACACATTTCTCTCTTGTTTTTCTTGGATTTGGGTCTCACCAAAATTGGGGAAAAGTGCATATTCCTCATTGATGATAAATATGCAAATCTAGCACTATTATTGATGGCAATTAAGTATTGCCCATATTGTTGGCACGCAAATCAGTATGCTTATAGCATTCCTGTCGTTCATGGCCTTGTACATCAGGGATTAGTGCCAATGGAAATCTATGGACAGGATGGGTTATCTCTCGAATGGTATGGTGAGCTAGAATGGGCTTCCCCTATTTGGACAAAGAAGCATGCCCTTGATAAAGCTAAGCAGTAAATTGTGTACCATGGAAACTAAAGCTTCTTATTGGGAAACTTATTTTCCTTTACCAATTTCTCATGTTGTAGAAAGTAGACTTAGGTGGGCTAGCCATGTATAGCGCAGACCCCGTACAATACCAGCTAGAAGATGCAAGTTGGTTCAAATGGAAGGCTCAAAAATGGTAAAAAACAGGCCCAAAAGGACATGGTTGGAAGTAGTAAGAAAATATATGGCGATTTATGGCCTCATTAAGGGTATGACTCTTGATAGAGCATAATGGCAGACTAGGATTCGTGTAGCTGAAACTCAAATAGTTAAGAAAAAGCTCTAATGATGATGATGAATTTCTCATGTTGTATTTGCCAAGATTGATATGAAGGGGTTTCAAGATCAAGCAGTGCCGAATATTTCATTCAGAAGTTGCGATCTATTTGATGTTTTATTTGGTCCAAAACAGGTGACTATGTTTTCTGTTGAGGACAATTCATTAGAACTGTGCATTCACAAACTCATGGAGTATGATGCCAAATATAAGGTAGCCACTAACAAGCATCGCCAGCATAGAATTTTTTATGTTGGAGATTTTGTATGGGCAGTTATGACTTAGGATAGATTTCCAGCCGGGGAATATCATAAGTTGCATCAGTGGAAGATTGAACCGTGTGAAGTGGTGCAGAATATTAATGACAATGCCTACAAACTGAAGCTTCCCCAGCCGTCTTTGCAATTCCGATGTCTTTAATGTCAAGCATCTAATTCCATATTATGGTGATAGCGCCGACGATGAACCACCAAATTCAAGGGCAAATTATTTTGGGCAAGGGGGGATTGATGCAACCTAGAACACTGCTCTCCAGTATTTAGATAAAAGAGACAAGCATAAAGTTTACAAGGGAAACCGCAAAGGGCAAATTAGTCATTAAGTCGATCCTTTTATGTCTTCTATTCATTTCTTAAATCATTTTATTTACTTATGGGCATGAGTAATAATTGCTAGAGTCTTTTATGTCTTTTTATTCATTGAAAGTCTTTTATAATAAAGGGTCATGATTAGATTAGAAGGATGGTCAGGATTAAGTCTTGTTTAGGGTTTTCTTATATAAGGGACGTACTAAAGCGTAATAGAGGATTATGTTACTACTTTTATTCAAAACCCTAGAACAGCAAGTGCTCTTTTTTATCTCTTGTTCTTAAATCTTTCTCTGATTTTGAATCTCCCCTCTTCTTCTTTGCTAAACCTTATCTTCAAGTTACTAGGTCTGCACCAAAACCCCTCAAATAAGCGGAGGATTGTTTGGCATAGGACCCATTCCCTACTGAACCTGAGAAGGATGGAGGCCAAAATCAAAATTGAGAAAGGGCAGTGAAGAAAGGTGATCACTAGATTCAGCACCCCCCTTGCATAGGGAAAATTGGTTGGCAAGGGGGATGGGCCTCACTATAGATGCTCCAACGTAAGGACTGTTTTAGATAGAACAATACAGGTAAGAACCTGGGTTTTGAGTGAGATTTGAGGGAGCCATGCTTTACAAGCTATGACTATAGAATGGCTCTGAGCATCCTGGCTCAAGCCTTTGTAGAGCAAAGCAACTGAGAAAACCCCTGATGAGGCAGATCAATCTATCATACCCAGATTTCAGAATATCCTGTGAGTTAAGAACGAGAATCAAAGAAAAGTAGTCTTGGATCTCTTCTTCTAAAAAGTCTCTTCTAAAGATGGGAGTTCAAACTCTTTAAGTTAATTATTGTAGCATATGGGGCTCTTGCCAGAGCATAAAGCCTTGGGTACAGGTACTGAAGGATGCCTCCCAACTCATAAGTCTTCCACAAACAAAGCCTATCTCATTATTGGCCTTAAAATGAACAAGAGAAAGAAAGCTTGCAAGGCAATACCTTTCCAAACCCCCTCAAGGACGAGGCAGAAACTCTTCCCCTTGGCAGCCAGCCTGCCTCATCCATAACCATATTTCATGTGTATCATGAGCTGGGGAGATGTCTCTCCTAAGCCGCAAATCTCCAAAACCACTTTCCCAAGGAGCATT